TAATTGAAATTCTTTCAATTTAAACCAAGGTGAAAAGTATCGTTGAATTTCCCTAATGCACTCGATAATCGTTTTGGCCCATTAGTGGCAGTCGATGTTAATGCAATTTTCAAAAATTCTTCAATAGCCAAAAACACCTGAGATGCCTATTCTCCGTAAAGCTTTCTGCAAGGCTTTTAATTTTATGCCTAAAACCTCTTTGCCGCACTTAAAATATGCCCGATTAGGTAATTATCTTGCTGAGAATTAAAGCATTTTCTTGAATTATTGACGGCCTATTTTCCTTGAGTAATGAAAGTATTCTCGAAAGTATAAAATGAAAAAAAGAGAAAATATTTTTGTCAGGCGCTATTACTCACAAAATTTGAATAAAGCCGTCTTATGTTTGTTTATAAAGCCAGAATTTAATTTTTTCTAGAGTTTTTAAATCAGCTTGTTTTACTTGTGAAAATATACAGCGAATGAGAGGAATAACATCCAATCACAATGAAGCAGAAATTTAAATCATTTCTGAATATATTCTGAGTGAATTTCAATTTGCCATTAATAGAGGGCTATTCAAAATCGATTTTCATTTATCATATCTTTGCTTTTTAATCTGCTTATGAAACGCGAAGGAACTTTTCATTTCTTCTTGCATTAGAAGAGACAATGGAACCGACATTGTAAGACAGACTTGGCAATCAAATTCCCGAGAATAAGCACTGGATATCGTAGACCGGTCTTCATTGGAATGTGAAGCGTGACACTTTGACATCAATTGTTACCTCTACCCACTTTAATTTCTCGTGTTTTCTGTCACCCGCTTTCCACATCTAAAAGTTTTCAATTATTGCAGTTTTTTTTTCAAAAATGATAGTTCATTGTATCACATTCAAGTCGCTGTAATATGCTTAACGCATTCACAGAAACTGCACAAATATAGTGTATTAAATTAAATTTTTTGCTTTTTGTTATCTGTTGCTGCCTAATTAATGTGATAAGTGGAAAAAAGAAACAAAAAGTAAAAATTCGATTTTGATCAAATGCAAAGTTGATCGTCTCCGTTTTTTTTAAAATAAACAACAAGGAAGACTTTCAGTTTTAAATACCGATCCTGAGAACACACACTATTTCCATTTATTGACAGAGCAGCACAGCACTATATGACAACAATGGGCGCAGTTATACAACCAATTAAAACACAGATTCTGTTGTCCTATTTCACATTTTTTTTGTCAAAAAACCAAAATGCCAATGTTCAATCTGTTTTTGGTAAAAAATAAATTTGCCCAAGATCTGCTTTATAATAAAAAAGATTAAATTGGTTATTGAATGCAAAAATAAGTCACCAAAATTTTACAAATATGTTCTTAAAAACACGTTTTAAGAAAAATAAACATAACTCATACTTCTTTCTTGAATTTTAATGATCTGAAATTATTTTTGTACCAATCAATTTAGCGCCAAATTTTTAGGCTACTTCAATATTTCCTGTTAAAAAAATAAACACGAATAATTAACTGAGAAATAAGGGAGAAAAGTGAGTGCGAAGATGTCGAAAAAGCATTTATCATTTTGGAAGCACGAACACAAGACAAATGTCTGCCTTTGTTACCTCTAGAGAGTAAGCATAGCAAGCACTGAAACACAACCAGTAGTTTTTCAGTGCCTCAAACACATTTAAAAAAATAAAACAACAATTCAATTTCAATGTGGCAAGCACCGTTTGACCTGCTAAATCCCTAAAGCAAATTGATTTACATATATATTCTTAATTAGCTTTCACAAAAAATGCATTTTAAGGTCTTCAAAGGTCTTATTTATGAAGAAAACAAAGATTGATTTAATTAACTATGCAATGTCCAAAGTAATTGAATGTAATAAAACAGAATTATGATGCAGAAATTCAAAAGTTCTTGTGACTTACGGCAGGCATGTTCCTGGGCGACATAAACGGTTCCCCCGGGACATGCACAGAAGCCGGCACCCGGATGGCAAATGCTGTTTTTGACGTGAACACAGTCCTTGTCAACATGACAACTGAGTGACGTTAGTACTGCATTAAAGAAATTGTGCTTTATGTTATGAACACGATTAGGCCAATAAGAATACAAAACTTTTCTTTCGATGTGCATGGTGTGTGGATCTAAAAAGTTTTTTTTGTTATTAAAACTGGTAAAGAGTTGAGGACAGTCAATAAATAACTGGAATGAACATCGTGTTTCGATAATTAGTAGAAATAATTTATTTAAAAATATTATTTTGACTAGAAATTTGCACCAATTTTCTTACCTTTGCTTTTATTCTAAGCCACGAATCCCGCAATGTATAAATCTAATTGACTAAAATCTACACAAATTGCACAGACACTTTGATGAATTATACAATTTTAAGGAAGTATTAAAATGGTGTTTTAACATTTTAATATTAAATGAGATAAAATTCAGAGCTTTTTTCTTAATAACAACGGAATCTAATATCACAGCTTATTTAAGAATGCACACTTTATTAAATTAAAAAGGCGACTACTTTCATTCGTTTATTTTGTCATTAATTAGATACTCATTTAGTAATTGTTAATTCACTATACACTAGGGACCGATTAATTTACTAATTCAATTGCCTAAAACTAAGACTGCATCTGCAATGATCGAAAACGTGAGCCTCCTTTTTAATTACGATCAAAATTAAATTGTTTTCTTCCAGGTGAATTGGGACTTCAAAGCACTTTCTCAATATGAAAATTGATAACTAAATAAGATTAGATTATTGATTCAAAAGGTTGTCCTGTTAAGCTTATATTTAGTGTTTGATGTAATATAGCTTATAACATTTAAGATATAAATTTTAAATTAGCATTTTGTTTTAATTGGCATGATTATTGGGATTTTCTTTTAGGCAATAATGTTTAATCGTATCAGGAAATCGTTACTGATTGCCTTTCTCTTTGCAATCAAATTCGTACACAATTTAAAGTATAAGCACTCATTGAATATTTAAACAATATTTGCTAATTGCACCTGCATTTAATTTCCTTCAAATAAACATTTGAATAGGGGCCTTTTCTTGGAATATATTTGTAACGGTACCACATTTATCAAGTGTGGCTAAAATATTAAATTATTTCTTGTCGTAAAAACAATTTGAGTACATATTAAAAAGATTTTATACCATTTTATCCTTTTATGCTTCAATATTTCTACTGTTTACACATGTTTAATCCAATGAAAAGAAATTGCTATTATGAGTAATTATGTCTGCCAATTTAATAGTTTGGCCATCGTATAACCTATCAGAAGGCTTCATTGCACCACATTTTACCTAAGATGAGTAGTCCTGGAAAACGCTTAGGAAATGGGGTGTGGATTCGGAATTTGTACGAAAGAAATTGATAAACAGCACATCAACAATGTTGAAAAAACAAGCTTTCGTAAACCGCATCGAACTTCCAAATTCCAGGTAGATCCTCTATAGGTCAAATGATTGAATACAGAAAGAACAATTCTTATATGAAACTAATATTAGGCATTTTCTAACTTATAAACTATTCAGAGGAAGGCAAGGATGTAAGAGAAGTGAATAAAAGTATTGATTTATCAAAGTTGCCAAAAAAGGTAAGTAATTTGTGTTTTGTAAATAACAGTACCAAATACCAGCTTAAATATCTACGAAACAGTGCAAAGTTGACTTGACATCAAACAGATTTTCAAGCCAAAATAACTTGGAAAGTAGTTTTTTCAATTGCTTTAATGCTGTTTGCAAACAAATGTGAATTTTGGCGCCTAAAATGTTGGGAGATCGGCCATGATAACGTCAAAATACAACGCACGTCAAGGCAATCATTAAAGTGAATAAAATTTATATCCAATGGATATTTTAAATAAAATTTTACCCAATTTATGTACTATTGGCTGAAGCATGTATATCAATTTTGAGGTGTGAATTTTACCGTTTTATACAGCTTTCTCTCATCAAACGCTGAAATTTTCTTAAATATATGACTGTTGAAAAATTAGCAGGTAGTACTAAAAAATTAACGTTATTTATATGAATTTGTATATTTTACTTGCATAATTTCCAGAAAAAATGCTGTTTCTTATGTTAATGTTTAATGCTTATTTATAAGAAATAGTTTTGAAGCTCAATTTGAAAAAATAATTATCTTTACATTTGCCTCAACATACCTGTTTGAAGTAATTTTTCAAATTTTACTTTCCCAGCATAAAGTAACATAATGCTTATGGTTACTTAATGCTTTTTTACAAATTTAACTTTCATATATCTATGAATTTCCAATATCAAACTCTTTAATTGCTCACATTTTATAGATTTATGGAACTCTATCGACCAATAATTACCGAGAATTAACTATGAATTTTTCGCCACCAGAGTAACCGTCTTGATTATGGGATCTTAAAAAAGTTTTCCTGATCAAATGGCCGTTAACAAAACTAGTTCAGTCTTCTCAAATTTGTGCAATTTTCATAAACTCGAATTTTGCTACGAAAAAGTGACTCGATTATATACCAAAATACCTTTTAGGGAAAGTAATACTTATGACTGGTTGCAAATTGATTGAACTTTTAATAACTGAAAAAAGCTTGCCTTATTTTAAGGATAAACAATTGCATAATGTTAAATGTTACAATTTTGGTTCTGGAAATAAATGTCTATTTAAATTTTAATTAGAATCTAAAATTGATTCCCATTAAAACTGCTTTAATTTTATTTCTAGTGCGTATTGAAGACGTTACTGTCGAATTTAGCACACAGTCCATGAAAATTAATTTTTAACAAAAAAATTGAACTTGCTAAAACGATTGCATTGAACTTATTGGACAAATCGATTGATGTTACTAAGACAATGAAATACGCAGGTAAATTGTCTATCAATAACTGTCCAGTTAGTAAATATTGTGCAATCCGACCACAAAGATCAAACGAGGTCAAACACTTTGCAAGTTTTTAAGAAGTAAAATTTTTAAAAATCTAATTAATGAAAATGCACACACAATACTTCAACCACTGTAGGAGTTTGCTAATTTGAGTAGATAGAGGAGTGAAAAAAATACAATTGACTCACGAGGTTTACAAGTAATTCCGTACTCCTCTTGGATAGCCACGTAGGCGGGTTGGCAAAAGCATTCATTCTTGGTGACAGAGCAGAAACTGTTGGGCACTCGTTTGATGCAATAGGCATCGCCTTCATCCACACAAGGACCTGAAGCAACAACATGATATTCGTCAGCTCTAACCATCCAACAAAGTTGCAGTGCCAGGCAAAGCAAGCATCTCATCGCGCAAATGGTCTCTCTCGCCTCTTGGTCTCTTAAGGTGAGCTGCTGTAGTTAGCCTTTTCCTTGCACCACCAGTGTTATGGGAGCCATTATTCCTCGCTGATTAGCCAATCACCAGTGAGAATGGCCTACGCTTAGGTAATGCTAATCACTAGGCTCAAACCGACATCTTGACTCCGCAATTTACATGCAAAAACTGTATATTTATATATTTATTTTTTCCCACAATCTGTCGTCGACTTGGAGCTTGTAAACGACTTTTGTCAGAGAAATTTAATCAAAGCTCCACTCACGAATGTTAAGTGAATTCGAGTAGTGGTGGGGTGGGGGGGGGAGGGTTTTAATTTTGGCGTTGGGAAGAAATGAACATTAGAAAATAGTAATTACTTTAGAACTGTTGGAGTAAATTAATCTCAATAATCTTGTTGAGTTTATGAAAGGAATCCCTCTATTGTAATTTGTAGAGATAAATGAGAGATTAACTTATAAAACCGATACGTTACGAAAAATGACTATTTGACGTTTTTAATATTCCATTGAAAATGATTAGAAACAGCATGCTTCGTAAATATAAAAAAATTTTAAGTTATGAATACTTTTTGGATTGTATAACAAATAGAATATGGGAATGTCAAAATTTTCTACGTCAACGTTTTTATCACTGCGGCTGAAGAAACAGATTTTAACTTGAACTGATTTGGTTTCGGGTTCCAATTACTGAAGGAATGGAATAATTAAAAATTTCTGGATTGGGATGCGTGACAGACTTACCTCCACGTGGTGCACTCTGGGCAGCGTATACCCATACGGCAAAAAAGTCTAGTAACCGGCAGTTGACTTCTCACTTCAAACTACAATCACCCAACTGTATGTCATACTCCACCATCTCCACAGTACTCACCTCACCTCTTTTCTACCTTTGTGTCTGATTCTTGCATTTTTGAAACACTCTTCTGGCTAAGGATAACTAACAAAACGCCTGCCATTTGATATAAATAAATAAAATAAAATTTCTTGAGTCAAATTAATTGAGTGAGAAACACCGGATCAAGACGGAAATTATGGAAATTCAATGAAAAACGCAACACCAAACTATAATCAACTCTGCAGTTGGCGAGATCAGTGGTCTGTTATGGCTTATATCAGTTAGGCAACATCTCAAAATTCAATTTTTGACAGAAATAAAAGTCTAAATGACCTGACCCCTGAAGTGTGCTAGAATCTTAACGGTTTGAAATGTCAAGAAAATTTTGAACACAGGGCTCTGATTTTCACTAAGTCAAAGATGTCGTAATTTCATTTGAATTTCAAATTTTGATTTTGATTTGAGTAACCAACTCTTAACAATGTGGACCTTAACAACCCCTTAAAACACCAGCCTAGCAAATTTTACGTCGTTCAATTCGCACGTTCAGAGATGAACTGAAATCTATGTTCATTTCCTGCAACCTAAAATGACAAAAGAATCTTTTAGTTCGAATAATGATCAAATTTTAGGGGTGCGTGATAGACTTGCGCACCACTTAGCGTACTCTGGGCAATATTTGCTCATTCGACAACAAAGTCTATAAGCCGATAGTTGACTTCCAACTAATATGACCAGACTGAATGTCATATTCGACCCCTTCTACAGCGTTTATTCAAGTAAAATGATGCGAAATAAATTAATTTTTATAAAAAAACCAAAAAAATTTATAGTCGAATCCTCAAACGTCATCATATTATGGCAAATTTGCCTCAATATTTCACCGACTAAACGTATTAGTTTTAAATTTTAGGCCTTTAAAAGGGCAATATTGAAATTATTGGATCAAAAATTATTGGATCCTGTAAATAAAGTGAATTTCTTAGTTAGCGCCAACATAAAAAAATTGCCTGGAAGTGTAATTCAGAATGGTCATTTGAAATATGATATTTCTATAACTAAAAAATTTGCTCAAAGTGGACTTGATAAGGGTTAATCTTGAAAGACGGCACAACGGAAGATTGTCTAAATTTCGATGGAAAGAATTTTATGTGCTTCTCTGTCTTTGTTATTTAATATATAAACGTTCAAACAATGTACAGAGTGAACTGAGTTCATAAAAGACTTTAGTTATGAAGCACATCAAGAAACTCAAAATTACTAAAATCTCATGCATATGTACTACTTACATTACTCAGTAGAACTAATTTAGAAAACGAAATTGGGTAAGATTTTCTTAAGTGATTTTTTATTAAAAATCACTTTAATTTAATGGTACATCTTTCAATCTTATCATTAATTGAGCCTTTCACTAAAATTTCAATCATTTCTAATTTTTATTGGAAGTCTTACGTCAATATTCAGTTAATTTACATGGCTCCGGAAAGATTCCTACAGCTCTTTTTTTTCTATAAGTATATGCAATTGACCAATAAGCTATTCCTGGTAAATGTGCTTCGTTTATTGCCGTGAATAATATAAATTCGACTTTTTTTCTTCACAGGCATCCAATTGAGCTGACTTGTGATTCAGGATTTCAATTCCCATATTTTGCATTTAAGGAAACCTTTGTATAAAAGTAGGTAGATAATTGAACTAAATTAATTTTTATTCCAAATTTAAAGCTGGAGAATGCAGATAAAAGATAAATGGTTGTATTTTGGCGCAAAGAATTTGACAATCTCAAGAGGCAACCAAAATATGGTTGGTAAATTTGAAAGATTTTTTGGGGTGTGCGTATAAATTACCCCCCCCCCTTTCTATAAAAAAGAGCTTTGCTTAAAATAGTTGAAATTAAAGTCTTCTACAGGCTCAGCTACATTACAGCAATGGAGTAAGGAGGGGGGGGGGGGTGGATTTTACCTTTTTTTATAGGGACCAAAAGCTCCTCAGATTCTAGTCATTAAATTACTGACTTTTGATAGTGCAGGAAAGACGTCTAAGTGGCTTTATCGACAGATCCCAGCACACACAAAATAGTACATTGACCTTAAGACTTGGAGAAGGGGCGAGAGGGGGGGTGG